ATAATGATGTTGTTGCTGTTAATTCTAGTTCAAGTGTCGATATACGTTCGATTTTGTTACTAAGATGTCTTATTCTGGTTTCTTTTCAACACTACTAATACTTTAATTTAATTGTACTCATTGAGTCCCTGTAGACCTTATTCCTGTTTGATATTGCTGAATATGACAGTTCATAAAATTGATCAAATATACATTACTTAATGTACCCGTCTTCAGTTATAAAGATAAAAATAGCGAACAACATATGTTTTATCAGAGACAAGTAGATTGATATCAGACTAATAAGTTGGTCACTTCAAGAGGGTGTGATGTTTGAATGAACTAATGATTCCTTTGTACTTGTTGAATGCTTGATTTCGAATTCCAAGTACAGTACATTCGATTGTGCTTATCTAGTACTTCTTGATCCAATTACGTTATTTCTGGAATTCTTAGTTCATATTATAATTCAAATACTCCTAATTATCACAGGAGGCTACGCTACTATTATAGACTTTGTTCAAATATGTCGTCTAACTGAACAATTTTACCACTTATATCATACATCTACTAAACGAAAGAATTCGCTTAGTAAATTACCAATAAAGAGAAGCTCATAGAGTACGTAAACAGTTGTACTTATATTGAAGCTCCAAAAGAACTGAAAAATGTACTTTTATTGCTTAAGATATCAGTACACCATCAAAGAGACAATAATGCCTTGAATTCGAGAACGCAAAGATTTTGGTATCATTGGCAGTGATTCAAAACTTGACAACCCAGTGAAATCAGAAGTCAGAAGCGAAGAGGTTCAAAGGTTTATTTGGCAGAATATCGATATATCAAGAAATGACTAATCTAAGCTGGTTAGCGATTGCGGAAGAAGCGAAACACGGCGAACTCACTCATGATCTGGTTCGGATGCGTGACCGAGAGCCTTCAGCTAGGTGAGTCCATCAAAATTAATACGGTCAACAACAAATGTCGGAGACTTACTGAGCTATTGATCGTGGGGATTTATTTGCCGCTTCGCTCTATACTATTAATGAGTAGTCAAGTTCTGGGATTCACTTCTGGCTGCGGTAGTCCAATAAACTTCCAAGAAGTCTTTTAGGAGAAAGTAGACATACGCTCAAGCGCTCAAGACAGCATCTCAGTACAGTTTACAATTACAGTTTCATTTTGGAAAGGACAGGAAGCTTGATGGCCTATGATGGCACATCGGGTGCAAATTTATCACTAAGCAATTTGCAAACTGTAATCAAGTCGCCTCTAGTTCTACAATATGACAACTGGGGGAGGTTTAGCTTGGCCAGTCCAGTATCATACGGAAGCTTTGCTATTCCGGGAATCAGCTTAGTCACCGTTCTCCGAACCTTTTCCAGAAGCTTACTGTCTTTTTTGAACAGGAGCTAGCCGCTTGTATGTAGTACTCAAGTTTAAGACGTACGAACACTGTATACAAAGTCGAAAACGTCTTGGCGTCGACATGACTGAAAGCCCTACGTATTGACCATAAGGTTCAAAAACCATTGGTGGATATTTCACGGCAGTGTGCAGTAGTCTTTAGGTCTTGGCTAACGATGACTCCTAAGTCATTATATGTCTGAACGACAGGTAGCTCAGTGTTATTCATCGTGTATGTATCTGTACCTTGATGACCGATATGCATCACAACACACTGCCAGGTTTGAGACCATTCAGATAATTTCCTCAGGTCATTTTGGAGTTCTAAACTATGATCCTTACGTTGTGTCGTCCTCCATCTCTTGACATCGTCAGGATATAGCAAGACCGATGATGATAGGAGACGAGGAAGGTCATTTACATACAAGAGGAATAGCATTGGTCCCAAAACTGTACCCTGGGGCAATCCATTAAGCACAGTTTCCCAGCTACATAGCTTTGAATTCACCTGTACTCCTTGTTGGCACCCAACTAGGAAGTCTTTTACCCATAACAATAGATTGCCTCCAATTCCGACATTTCTTAGCTTATATAACAGCCGGTTGTGCGGAACTTTATCAAAAGCTTTGCTGAAGTCACTGTAGGCTACGTTTACAGGTAGCTTTTGATCCTTAAGAGCACACCAGCTTTCACGAGCCACTAATAAGTTAGTGAGATATGAATAACCTATTCTGAAGCCGTGCTGCTTCTCCGAGAAGATCCGGGTTTTATGGAGATACTTAAACAGCTCCTTCCGAATAATCTTTTCTAAGATTTTAACAACAACACTAGTTAGGCTAACGGATCGGTAATTCTCAGGTTTATATTTCGTACCTGTTTTGAAGATAGGACTTACTATGGCGTTCTTCCAGTCTTTTGGCAAACGACCCTGAGTTACCGATAGATTAAAGCATATACTTAAAAAGTTCGCAACGAAGTTAGATAATTCCCCTAATAGCCTAGAATGCAATTCATCGGGCTTCTTGGATTTACTTATGTCAAGCTTATTTAGCAAACCAGTGTATGTGTGGGGGGATTTGTATGAGCTGACTGGAAGGGTGTTTCTATGGTATATACATTGCTAAAGTAGTTTGAGAACACTTGAGCCTTACAAAAGTCATCCTTCACTAATGATGCGGCAGTACTGTCTCCCCATAGTGCAGGAATATTTCTTCTTCCTTTTATCCTTTGGTTTATATAGGAATGCAAGCGTTTAGGATATCCTATGGATTACTTAACAATTTTTCTTCGCTTAATTTTCTAGACTTACGGAGGGTCGAGGCACAGGTATTCCGAGCTTTTCGATACTGAGACTTTGTCTCATCAGTCCCCAGGAACATAAATCTATCCCACATTTTTCTTCTCTCACGGGGAAGGATGCGGACGTTCCTACTGAACCGTGGTAAGGAGTTTCTCAGCCCCCTTGGTATAGTCCAAGGGATGTGGGGTGCGGTAACTTTTAAGTATAAGTCCAAAGCCGTTTCAATTGAGGACTCTGAGTCTATTGTCGAATCTACTAACGACGTTGAGTGCATGATATCTGGTATGATTGCTTTCCAGACGGTAGGTCTGGATTGAGCTGACGCACGCTCGTGATTGACAGTTATATGAAAGTCAAAAGTTAAAACTGCGTGATCAAATTTACCTAGGGATGGCATGTAGTGGAGGTTCGCAATGCCATCTTCATAGTAAGTCAATAAAAGATCAATAAGGATGATTCAGTATTCGGTTCGTACCTAGTCGCTTCTTTCACATGTTACACTAGGGCACATGTGATAACTGCACCAACTAGTTCCTGCTAGAAGGAATTTTCTGACGATTCAGTTCGCAGATTTTCCCAGTCTACCATAGGTACATTAAAGTCCCCTAGGATTAGACATCGACCACATTTTCTTTTGCAGTTAAATATACCTAGGTCCCTACCTATTAGCATCGGTGATACACTGCTATTAGATATAGAAGCCCGTTAAGCAAACGATTCTTCTATTCCGTCCAGAACTATTTGAAAGCCGTTGGAAGGATATTGGATAGTAAATATGTTAGATTTCAAGTCAAGGTCACTTAGGTCAGTTTTGGGACTTATAGGTTTATTAACTAGTTATGTTTCGTTTAAAATGTGCTTTTCAAGTGTATGATTGGGGTAAAGTTGGAGTAAACAGTGAGGTCTACAAGCTATTGAGTCAAACTCAAGAGCTAGATAACTTGAAGCCGTATGCAGAGGTAATTGATGTCATTCTAGTTCAAATTCCCACATAGCTATGGATGGGAACTCATGTTTCTGGACCGTCTTTCATGATGGATAGTCCTTCAATATCTCTTGACGCATATATTTCAAGAAATCCACACTGTTTAGGTTCAGCAGTGTCTGAAAAATTTGGCAATGCTTTGCCTTTTCTGTTCAAAGTTCTTTCTGTGCGAAAGGCGCTATCTATCCAGGCCCATCCAGACAAGGTAAGTTCATACACATTAATCCGGTAGTGGCTGACTTTATTCTTGATTTATTTTTGCCTTCATTGATGTTTTCATGCAAAACAGTTGTGGTTTAGTCTCAAGTATGCACCTTAATCAAAAAAGAACGAGAAAAGCCATGGTGCAAATATCAAAATATTATTAAAGGTAGGTGTGCCGTTAACTGTAATATAGGAACCTCAAATTTATATTCAAACCATGAATCATTCATTTATGCTTGACGTCTTCCGACTGACCAAAACGACAAACACCCCAAGCTCATCCGCCTGTTTACTTCAGGTTTACTCGATTATGTTTTTGTAAGATAGGAAAAACACTTAGTACATAACAGACTGGTTGAACATAAAAATATAGACCAAAAGACATTAGAAAAATGGTTCCTAGAAGTATTTAAGATTTTGGACAACAACCATGGCCAAGTGTTTTAAACCTCAGTTCTTCGGTCCCAGTCTGGAAACTGCAAACAAATATGCCATCAGATTCTCACCACCATACAAAATATTTATTTTGGTGACTTTTAAGAAGATGGTACGGCTCTCAAATTAGGATGACCGTGTAATTTAATGGGATAGGGATGGCATAACCAACAAGTAAAGGAGAATATTATTCTGCAAAAAGGCGGTTTCGTTTACAACACAACTGTGATTATCATTGTTAAGTAAGTCTTGTCCCATGAAGAATGTAATCGGGACAACAGTAGGGTCGCCACTGGTTTTGATTTAAATTTGTAACTTCTGTCAAGTAATCTGTAAGACTACAACTATGAAGTTGCAATTGACTTAAAGGTGCCAGTCTCATGTAGCAACTTTTTGTGCAACGATATCACTTCGCAAAATAACTTTCTATTTGCTATGTTCAGTCACCTTCAAATTCTGTAAATGATCCATGATTTGTAGGATGTTGTTTCAAATGTTCTTTGGGCTCATGTGGATAATTCTCTACACTTGGCTCAAACATTTCCAGGTCTTATGATGGTGGTAATGATCTACAAAAACTTATTGTAACCTTAAAGTCGTTTAGTTTTTTTTTTAAATAACCCGATATTATTAGTGATATATATTAGTGAAATGTGTTCATAAACTTGAAGAGCTCATTATTTTATCACGAACAAGTTTTCATATCACTCCAAATCTCGTAATTGTTCTTTTTCCACTTAGTTCTTACCCGTTCCTTTATTTGAACTCCTAGCTCACATAGGACCTCATTTCTGTTCTGTTTGAATAAAAGGTGTCACTGAATTTAACATATGTTGTCGACATTGTTAAAAGTTGGGATGTTTTCTGGTTTGTGATATAGAAGATACTTCAACCATACTAAGTATGAATAGATGTCACATTTCCTATCAATAACTTTCTCACAGCAATGATTGTATATAATGGAACCACTAGGAGACCAATGTTGAGACAACGCATAAGGTCTCGTTGGAAGAGGTCAGTTAGTCGATGGAATTATGGGCGTTTATTGACGGTAGTGACTTAGTCCAATTCATTAATTATCTTCCTTTAAGTCTCAATCATTTTATAACCCTTCAGTTATTTTCGTTTGTTTAATTTTGATCATGTCGATTTTGATATCTCTCCCTTTTAGGTGAGTTTCTCGTATACTATTGTAAAGTGTTTTAACTGAAGGTATATTTTTACACGAAATTCTTCGTCAAATTCCTTACTTGAATAATGCATTTTGAGGTCTTTGTCTCTGTATTTAGCGAGCAGTCTTCTACTACCATTTTCCGTTGTTTTCTGTCTTAGTCATTATGACTTGCTAAGAAAACCTTGTCATGGTGTTTTCCTTTCAAGGAAAGCTAACAGGTTTGTATTTGGGAAGTGTTAGTTTTATCTATCCCAAAAGTTTAATTTTCTCGTTTTAGGAGTATGCAGTCAAGTTACATGCTAATAGACCTGATTTATACAAAGATGCTAATCACAAACCGGAAATAGCTATCGCATTAACACCTTTTGAGGTGATGGTCGGTTTCAGACCACCCGAAGAAATTGGTGCCTTTGCGAAACGTAAGTAGAATCTCTTCTTACATGAATAATTTCGAAACACTTTCAAACACGTCTTGGGCATTAAAAGCAGTACGATCAGGTTGAGATTATATTCCTCGTTACCAAATTATTGGCTTAAATCTCGTTTGTCCAAATATCTGTTATTTAGTGTTTTTGTACTGCATTTTTAGTGGCTTTCAGGGGAATGTAATGCTGGCGTTCTGTAACTATTTGGAGCCACTTGTTAGAGTCACCGTCTTGGTACTTGCGAGTATTCTGTTTTGAAAGACGTTTTAGAGTTGTAATATTAAGCATCTTTAAACTTTTTTTCATATGAACGTAGTTCTAATATCATTTTCAGAATTGAAAACAATTGATCGACGCAAAGGAGACGATGCAACTATAGGCGCAATATTTATTTTTAAAAATACAAACCATGGCAAATTGCTGTAGGATTTTACAGGCCGTTGCGCACTAAAAATGCAAAGATGAAACTTTTCAGCAGAGGGCGACTTAATATATTCAGACTTCTGCAAACGCATGTTATGTTGTGATTTCACAACAGTTACTTGGGAATTACTAAAAGCAGCAGGAAATCGAACTATCCGTGAGACATACTCTAACCTCGGTGTACAAAACATATATCTTACTTGTTTTGGTAACGTGTGTTTATAGTGTATTCGTGTTTTTTGTCGATCGATTGGTTGACGAAACTTATAGTTCACTGAATGATAAATTCTGTACCTATACAACTATGTAAATAAGCAGCTCTCTACAAATTCACAATTAGTAGTGATTATGGTATGTTGAAAAAAATTTAGGTAAAAGTATTAAGTATTCCCTGCTTCTACAGCTTTCGTTGAAATCGCTTATTTGTTCCACCAGTTTGGTTCACTTTTTTATTCTCTAGCCAAAACACCATAAATCTACTATATTATTTTACTCATTTATCAATCGGGATGAATCACTGATATACTTGAAGTGGTTCATAAACTCCAATTCAGTCTATTTAATGTTATATCATAGCTATTGTATGAGGACTGCAAATGTTAGTGGACTGTCGAGACGGAAATATATATAATGAGATTTGAAAGAAAGAGTAAAGTTATAGTTAAATTGATGATTGGATCTAATTTTTCAGTGATTTTTCTGATCCTGATTGTTGCATTTTGCCTTCTATAGATATTCCTGAACTTCACGCCATTATTGGTCCAGATTTTACAAATGGCTTGTTAAATATCTTCACAGATAAAACGCTTACTTCTTCGTCAATTAAAGCCGCCTACTCTCGTTTGATGAATGCCGAGTCCAGTGTTGTAAGTCGACCTCTTTTAGCTTTTCTCGTGTGGCATGGACGAAACATTTTCACTTGTTCTATATTTATTCTGTTATCTTCAACAGTCAGTCAGTCAGTCAGCTACAACGTAGAACCATGCACTTATGTGCATCGGTCCAGGTTGCCATACCGCATCAGCACAACAAGATGAACACCGGATTCATAACAGTGGTTAGGTAAAAGGTGGTAATATATAAGAGAAAGATTGCATATAGAGATATAGTACAAGAAGAAAGAATTGGTTAGTAGAAAGAAAGATATGAAGCGCTTTTAATCTCTTAGTTTAAGGGAAGAAACCGAGTGTATACACCTACGCCATTGTGATCGATTCTGAGCCATGTCACCAAGAGTCTCCAACCATTGGTTACGATAGTCACGCGGACCCCAACCAAGTAGTCTGCATCTACCAACATGACTCAGACTAGAGGTTAGTGCCTTCAAGCACTGATGCCACGTTTTGGTTTGGCCGCCCCTAACTTTCTTCCAACCATCCCCTACACCAGTTAGCATTGCACGTCGTGGTAATCGGTGTTCAGGCATACGTAACACGTGGCCCAACCATCTCAGTCGATGAAGATTCATAACCTCATCAACTGATTTACCATCCTTTCCTAATACCCTGTGTCTAACCTCACTATTACTTACCCGATTATCCCAGCAGACGCCAGCAATATTTCTAAGGCATCTGTGGTCAAATACTAGCAGCTTGCGAGTGTCTTCTACTCTTAATGGCCATGTTTCGCTACCGTAAAGTAAAACAGAACGGACTGCCGCGCAGTATACTCGTCCTTTTATTGATAGACGGATATCTCGCCTTCGCCTTAGGTGACGTAAGTTGGCAAAAGCCAAACGAGCTTTTCGAATCCGTGCTGAGATTTCGTCCGATACCAACCCATTAGGGCTGATCAGACTTCCAAGATAAGTGAAGTTGTCAACAGTCAGTCAGCTACAACGTAGGACCAGGTACATATGTGCATCGGTCCAGGTTGCCATACCTCATTAGCACAGCAAGATGAACACCGGATTCATAGGAGTGGTTAGGTCAAAAGTGGTAATATATAGGAGAAAGATTGCAATAAGGATATAGTATAGGAAGAAAGAATTAGTTAGTAGAAAGAAAGATATGAAGTGATTTTAATCTCTTAGTTTAAGGGAAGACAGGGAGTGTATACACCGACGCCATTGTGATCGATTCTGAGCCATGTCACCAAGAGTCTCCAACCATTGATTACGAAAGTCACGCGGATCCCAACGAAGTAGTCTGCATCTACCAACATGGCTCAGACTAGAAGTTAGTGACTTCAAGCACTGATGCCACGTTTTAATTTGGCCGCCCCTAACTTTCTTCCAACCATCCCCTACACCAGTTAGCATTGCACGTCGCGGTAATCGGTGTTCAGGCATACGTAACACGTGGCCCAACCATCTCGGGCCACGTGTTATCTTCAACTGTTAAATATATATGGGTTTTTCACTTCAAATTGGGTGCTGTCAATCCTAACTTTACCAAAGAAGTTCAAAGTTTTTGAATAATTGCACTGATAATTCCACATAGTCCCAGCTCAGCATTCACACTAGAGAGCGTAGAGCGCATGATCATGGACTATTTTATTCCGTTTGCATTTAATATGGTTTTTGGAAATATTGAATTTCCTGCTGTAAAATAAACAAGTTTACTTTTTCGAAATTCTAACCCAGTATGCAAGAGATAGATTGAATTCATGTACAAGAAATATACCAATGATATGTTTATAAAATAGTCAAGTAATTATATGCAAAAACCTGGTACCTTCATCTCATCAGTGACATTTATAATAAAACGTATGCAGAAATTACTATTTTTCAACTTTTTGAGAGTTTTTTTTTAAGTGTAACAAACGATCCTTGGATCTAACTTATGTGTCCGAATTAAAGAACTATAAATGACATTTTATTGTGGTAGTTTAACTGGGCGTAGTCTCTTAAAAGATAGTGATAGTCGAACACTTATGAGAGGGTAGTTCAATGGTTAGGGTCTTCAACTTTCACCTACTAAGTCACGGCTTTGAGACCCTCTCCACCTGTTTCAGTTTGATCATCCAATCGGCACAAATAACTTTCACACTTGTGGTGTAGCCTAAATCTACACCAAGCAAATGTGTTAAAAATTATGCATATATCAGTCGTTCCGGTGAGTCAGAACTGAATCACAATAGGAGTTCCCTCATTGTACACGCACGTTTTCTAATAAAGCTGCTAATTCACAGTAAGCATAGGAAAGAGAAATACTTACTGGTTTATGTAATAAAAAATAATTCCTTATTTTGCTATTTCTGGTTCACCAAAATCTCACTAACTAGACTGTAAAGTTAGCTAATTCCTTGTAAAATGTCGCTCTTTAAAAATTTACATTCTTTTCAGTTTCATCTACTTTTATCATAGGTATACTCTTAGAGGTTTCTTTTGTCATATAATCCGACTTTTCGGAATTGATGCCTTAGCCACAAATCGTTTCATTTATGTAAGATATAAAAATTTTGCGAAAATGACGACTGTGTTTTCTGGAAACTACGTGTTAATACAACAAGGTTTGGATTCCATCGCTCTCTCCTCAAATCCAAGATGTCACCTCCAGGACTGATCTGTGTCAACATCTAATCCTATCATAGAAATTCACTTAGTTGTTTTCAGAGTCACATCAAACATTGTAGAATGGTAAATATCAAAATCTTAACAAATATACAAAATATACTGCTTATCTTGTACCACTTGGTCTGCAGAAGATATTTAGAATATCGAGTATACTATAAAGGAGCTCAGTACACTTCGAAGCATGACCATTAATGGCATAGCACATACGTATGTTGTAAGTAAATAATTAAATATATCTTCAAAGCATTCTCACTTTATAGTAGAATTCCTTGGTGAGTAATGCCAAATAAAGACGTAATTATCACGTAGAAATAGTAAATCAATTGATGCATACATAAGCTGTTGTGGAGTAGGGTGGTTTTGGATGTATTTCTCATCCCAAATCACTGTGGACATACATTTTGTGGGGAATTTTCTTAGAAATCAATCTAGATTACAAAGTGATCTATTATGAAGGTGTTTTTGATAGTTCCAACTGTTGTCTTAGTTTTTTTTATTATCAATTTTTCGATTAAAATATAATCATTTATCTTAACTTAATTCAATACCTTCTCATTTCTTTACAGGTCAGCAATTTAGTGGAAGCTTTGAAAAGACGTCTGACTAATGGTGAAAAGATAATTATCCCACCTTTAAAAAATTATATTCTTGATACAGAAGCTCTTGGAGAGATATTCATTCGTTTGGCAACAGATTACCCTGGAGATGTTGGTTGTTTTAGTTTGTTCTTTTTTAATTATTTAAAACTCAATCCAGGAGAAGCAATTTTTCTTGAAGTAAGTAAAAAATTATTTTTTTGACTTTTTATTTGTTATTTTTGTGACAGCCAAATAATGCTGAATATATTTGAATGCAAATGTGTAATTAATCATATTCATGTTAAGTGAAGTATAACCAAATAACAGTTAATCTAAAAAAAGTCAAGATAAAATGAAACAGTGTTGTATTCGAAACTAAACTATGAAGAGAAATTGAATAGATCTCGCGAGGCGGGATCATGGATGCGCACTGCTGAGAAGTCCCACAATAGGACGAAACGGCCGTCCAGTGCTTTCAGGTTTTCCATGGTGGTCTAGCTTCAATTGACTCATGATCTGAACTATTAAAATTGCTTTAATATCCACAAAACCCCTTCTGATATTAATTTTATATTTGTCCAATCTAATCCGTTCATCCTGAAGTATAATATGTTCGCACATTTAAATGCATCTTTATAAACGGCTTGATCAATTCGTCCTATATTTTCGACGATTATTTTATCGCACATTATGTGCTAAATGGAAAAAACATGAGTAGCAAATCAGTTTATTACATTCATGTAATCTAGGGTAGTTGTATTCAATTGATTTGTAACGACACCTTGGTTACCATCGGTCCTAATCACGGTAAAACGTATTGACTTGAATAATTACCATAAATTGTTCAAGGTGATAGAGTGATAATTTTTCCGTAGCTTTTTTGTATTTTTCAAACATGAATGGGCCTTACATTATTTATGCTTTTAATTAAAGTGTAGCTTCAACTGACTCATGATTTAAATCTGTGAAAATTTCTAAAATCTCCACAAACCCCTTCTGATAATAATCATCTGCTCACTAGTGACTGACTTCAAGAGATACTCCTGGAGTTCTAGTGGGAAGCCGTTACCAGTGGAGTTCAACCAGGTCTGTTGTGAGATATCAGCTCACTGAAGACAATGGTGTACGGTGGCGCGACTTCGTGGATTGGTTGAAGTTAGACATTAACACCGTTGGATGCCGGCTCAGTGGTCTAATGGTTAAGTGCTCGCACGCGAAGCCAGTAGGTCCTGGGTTCGAGCTCCGCGTGGTGCGGGATCGTGGATGTGCGCTGCTGAGGAGTCCCATACTAGGACGAAACGGCCGTCCAGTGCTTCCAGGTTTTCAATGGTGGTCTAGTTTCAACTGACTCATGATTTAAATCTGAAAATTTCTAAAATCTCCACAAACCCCTTCTGATAAAGTGTATCTCCCAAAACTTTTCAGTCTTATATTTTTTGGAAATATTTTCGCTTTGTCTAATCAGGATACACTTGACATTGGAGCATTAGTTTGACCGTCAATGTATTGTACTATAAATTTGAAAATTTCATTTCATTTTCGAGTCTCGAAGTTTAGCAGGACTGCTATCAAGTTGGACTAAAGATTTTGTCTGATTATAGTCTTCCAACAATACGAAAGTCAAATTATTGACACCTACGCTAAGTATGATGGTGTTCACTGTGCACCACATTGCTACAAAGTATCTGAACCTAGTAGATCGTGATAAATAACCGAAGTGGAGTATACGTTAAATTTTCTCACCATAATTTAGATATCGGGAAGAAACTAACTTTTTCCAAATGGATGAAGCGTTTTGTTGAGAAGTGTATAGATTCCATGTATGCATAGTATGTGATCACCAGTCTCTTTTGTAGGTGAAATCATTGAACACGTGTAATTTATTTTATGTTGTTTTTCTGGTTCACTGTCAACTGACTTCTCATGAGGTAACTTTAAGAACGTTATCTGAGTACAAGATCATACCAAAAAAATTCAAAGTTTGAAAAAATGTAGAACAACGAAGCACGTAGAGTCTAACTTCATGGAATGTTTTAGCCAATGGAAATGGAGATTGTACAACTGTATTGAGACAAATATGAAGTATCTTAAAGGGAATATGATAGATATACCCTTCATTTTTTAAGTTAAAAGTTTTATGACTTCACTCTGCTTATCTACAGGATGGATATGTATGTATATGCTTGAATGTATATTTCCAGTAATAGTTATATTCTGTCAAAGTTTCTCATTTTGACAATAACATTATCGTTATTTCTCTATATCATCAAGCCGAATTTGCCACATGCTTATTTATCCGGTGATTGCGTGGAATGTATGGCTTCTTCGGATAATGTAATTCGTGCCGGTTTAACACCGAAATTCAAAGATGTGGATCATCTGCTTCGAATTATTCAATATGAACCTCGATGGGGATCAGCATTGAAATTTGTTGGGCTGACGAAAAAAATTGTACCAATCGATTCAGATGTGCATACTAGTGATGATCAAGAAAAGAATTCAATTAAAGATGATACATCAGTTATGTCTGAAATTGTGACATTTTCTCCTCCAGTTGATGATTTTGCTGTGGATAAAATCTCAGTAGGTAACAAGTTTAATATCTACTGTTCAACCTATGATTTTTGGTCAAATTACACAATACTGACGTATTGAGAGATCAATCAAATTTGAAATATCGGATGTTAATTATTAGCTCAAAGTTGAAACGCCGTTATGGATAGCTTGTTTGTTGAATACCATGGTCTCAAATAGATTTGCATTTGTTAATATGCAAGTCACTTAAAATCTCCTAAAGCCTTCAGCATAGTATAGTTGTCCCGGATCTTTTAAAAAAAATCTATAGCTTCTTGACTACTTCATCCCAATCTCCTTACTTTTGGGAAATTATGGGGTTTTTGTGCCATTTCCCCAGAGTTTTCTATTGTGGCTTCCCCAAAATAGGGAGATAATGATTTTCTTTTCTTTGAATTTAGTTGTTGTTAAGAATCTGCTATCTAATAAAACTACAGTAAACCGTCATAGTAAACTACTCTTTTGAAGAAAAGCAAAGTTATGCTGTGTAATATCTTCAGTTAATTATAACTTAATAGTTTTCAGCAAGAAATGTACTTTATTTGATATTAGGTGGTCGTTAAATGCAATCGATAAATGTTGTGGATGCGAAGGGTAGACCAATAATTATCATGTTAAGTCCAATGGTGTCCTTGGACTTTAAATGGACATTTCCTACTGGTCAATATCTGTCCACTTGTTGAATATTGTACAAAATGTTGTTTTCTATTTTTATGGTACGATGTGGTATGTTTGGTTAGTATATAAATAGAGTATGTCTGAAATACAATGATTCATAACTCAGAGGCTGAGATTTGTGTTCTGGACTCAACTGGCTGGGATAGACAGGGAATCGGGACCAATCGTAACTCTAGGTCGTCCATTACGTTCGTACGTGTTCACGTGTCATTGAATCGGTCGATAAATACGCTGTTCTCTAGTTTTTCAGTCAAGGACACAACAATTAGCACAGGGTAAAAAAGCAACCACTACATAAAGTCATAACAATAAAAAAAATCAATTTGACACAACCCAATACTCCTTATTGACCGGGATTTATCACCAATGTCTGTCTGAGATCTTAGGCAACCTGTTTCTTCTTCCACAATATCCCAACCTACTTCATCCACATTACCACGGTTAGACATTTTATCACTGAAATATTCAAGCATTGACTAAAATCCTACATAAGCAAGGTGTTTGCATTAGTTTATATCTCACCAATACTCGATATCATGTAGCTCATTAACTAAAGTGTATAATTTTTAACCAGTAGTTCGGTATGAATCGCCCTCATCTTATTTCAGTTTGGATACCCGTGGTGATATCTTGAATCCTCACATAATGTGAGTTAAAGACGATCGTGCAAGCCTGTATTTAGTAACGGAGTTGTAATTACCCAATATCATGCGAGTTAACCAAATGGTGTAAATATTGATTTTGGATAATAATTATTCATCTTAATAATGATATACTGTTTGTAAAGGTTTTTATTTTTCCGTTGTTATTCAAGTAACTAGTCTCCATTTAGCATATACGTATCTTAAGCGAATTGCCTATATACTGACATTCAGTTACATGTTTTAATAAAGTTAGATCACTACTAGCAAATGAATCCGGTATACGTATTTCGTCCCATTTAGGACTCATCAGCTTGACGCACATATACTGATGGTAATATAGAGAATCCAGTTTGCCGTCTGTCACTAATTCGGTATGAATGTCAACACGGATTCAGGTACATCCAGCTGAGCTTCAAATAGGATAAAACGCTCGTTGTGAATTCCACTGTTAGCCACAATCCAAGTTTGTTAAATGTATAGGTTCTGTTCTGTATCATCTTATTAAAAACATTTAATGGCACTCAGACTGACCATGAGTTTTATTCATCAGTTTTACCACTTTCTACTGTGAAACATATAGTCAAAAATCTTTGTCATACTATGTATTTTTCAATTAAAACAGGATGAATTAGATATATATTCATCTTTTTTACTACAGATATCGGACAAGGATAAAATAGTACAGTTTTCGCCATTGAAATCTGCCAGCGTTTTGATTATTATCCATGGGAAAGGCACATTACAACGTTTGCATTGGGATCCTTTATCCACTTCTAACACTAAGCTAGACAGTCACAGATCAAAATATGCAGATAATTATGAAATGCCTTCTGCATTTGTTTGTGAATCTTTGTAAGTTTTCTTTAAAGTGGAAAATTTTACTATTTATGTATTTTATGCAAAGATGAATAGTGGCTAACAGTGGAATCCAGTTCGAAGCGCGTTTCGTCCTATTTGGGACTCGTCAGTTGGGTGCACCTGCACCTCATAGTTGATGTTTACTATGGGGCTTGAATTCAGTTATCGCCTTGTCCACTTAGCTACTGAGTCCTGATAGCCACTTGCTTGTGCAGTGAGGTGAAGTTTAACTTCCCACTATCCATCTTTGTATATAATGCTTGTGAATTAAGGGTATATCGAGGCAATACACACAGTATGCACATAGTCAATCATCCGAATACGAAAGCATTAATTCATTCTTACTTATGCCTTTACTTTTTATATTTCAGTGAATACGATCAAGGATCTGTGTTTTTCATCAACGCTGGAACTGCTTTCAGTGTTCATCAGTTACAGAAAAATGATTTACATTTATTAGCATTTCGAGCTTATGCAAATGTCTCCACTGACTAAATATTATTTTTTGGGATCCTTTCTTACCCTCATACTTTTAATTTATATTGATTTTTGTTTTCTAGAAATCCGGTTCTCTAATTAGTTAGCCATAAACAATGTATTCAATCGTATCATTTGGAAACTGTATTTTTCTTTAATTGGCTCTTTAATAATATGTGAGATATATAAACAATAAAAGAAACAGTGATTGTACTAGATTCAATGTTTTTCTTTTCCGTATATTATGTTGTTCGTAGTAAACGGTTGTATTTATTCGTAAATATTTTAACGGATTACTTAATCTGACATTGTAATTTCAGTTTCAAACAATCTCAATTAGTCTGTTAGACGTAGAGATGACCTATTTTGATAAACTCCACTAATAATTGTTGGGTTTCACTTGTCAAACAGAGGTTTACTCAGTCAGCCTTGAGTCACAATGTTTGTTTAATTGCTAGTTATTACTGTTCCTCTGAAGCGTTGATTTTAAAGTTGAGGCCTTCAATCACTTGGTTGTAGATTCGAACCTCACTTTAACTATACTGGTTTAAGCAATTGAATAGTGTCATCAAACAGTGTGACTCAAAGTCGAACATCTAATAAATGAATTAAGGGATCTAATTAATCGGTCATGTGACTAGTTAATCTGTCTATGAACTTTCTCCCTAGCGAAGTATCATTTCCGCTTTTTATTCTGTTTAGGAATGTAACTAAGATTTGTTTTGAATTATAGACTTTATAAACATTGCTTTTTTTAAACGGACTAGACTATAGTAAATAATGATGGCTGACTAATAGACACATTCAAAACTGACTCAATGTTTTAGGCGAAATGTGACTGAGTACTTACAGCACCCAGAAGACTAAAAATGTAACCAGTACACTCGCATCTCTTTTGTCATTCACGAATATATTTCTTTATAGTTATTCTTTGAAGAATCTACATCAATGCAGTAGTGTTTATAATGTTCAGTTTAGAAAACCCTTTAAAAATGAGATGAGTTACTCTTACAATATCACGTAAACATTATGCCGATCCAATTGTGTTAACTTCTGGATTTGAGATTTGTGTAGTTTAATGAATCGGGTAAACATCCCTTGATGTCTTAAAATGTATTTTCAGTGCAGTGATGAATCTGAGTCAAGCCTGAGTTCACATATTATTAAATAGTAGTGTGGTCATTGAACTAGTAATTCTAATAGTATCGTACTTATCAAGATGACTAGGACTGAGTACTTACATATATGGACATGTCACTTTCCTGACTCTATATGGATTCAGTCAGTCATCTATAACATATGACCAGGCACATCGGTCCGAGTTGCCATATCTCATTAGCACAACAAGATAAACACCAAATTCATAGAAGCATTTACTTCCATGGTAGTAAAAAAGACTTCATATATGGATATTATACAGGGAAGAAGAAGTTTGTAGGAAGAAAGGTACAAAGTAATTTTGATCTCACGGTTCAAGGAAAGGCAAAGAGTCTCTAAACTGACACCATTGTGATCGATTCTAAGCCAAGTAGTCTGCATCTACCAATATGGCTCAGACCAGAAGTTAGTGACTTTATGGACTGATGCCACGTCCTGGTTTGGCCACCCCTAAATTTTTTCCATCTGTCTACAGCACCTGTTAGTATTACGTGCCGTGGTGATCGATGGTTGGGCATGCATATGGATTACTGGTTGTCGAGATAATGATTTTGGTAACTGAGAGTTGTTGTGGAAGCAGTTAAAGTTTCCTGCCCATCATCCTAATCTCTTGTGTTGAGAGTGAATAATATTTATTTATCTAAACACATATTAGTACAAGGAGGCACCAAATACATATGCGCCACATCAATCATTCGATTTGCATGAGTGCTGGGATACTGTCCGGGTGTCCAAAGCGAAACAGGTGGTTTTCTTAGGGGCCATACTTTGACATGAAGGTCTAATCTACAAGGCAGTGGGGCAACGTCAGGAGATGCAGCCCCATGATAACCGGTTACCAACAATAAATTCATACACCATTTGTTCCCCCAGGATACTAGAGCCCATGGGCACCATTGGTTTGTAATCAAGGTTTTCCAACTCCCCTATGTGAACTCTGTATCCATCAACCCGGTTAAAGCTCTGGACATTCTCTTTTCGTCCTCTCAATTTCGTAAACAACACCCCCGCCATGAGAAGGCAGCGAGCAGAACTTCCCTGACAGTTGTCGCCATGTGAGACCATTTCGAGAGGGAAAGCTGACTCTTCCCACTTTCGGTCGCACCAGGGCATTCGGGGACAATAACATGACAGAAACACTACAAACTAACTCATGTACTTAATACGAAAACATCGTTGTGCCAATTACGTAATATAACCACTAAAGAGGTCAGAAGAATCGGGGAATGAACTTATTTCGTAATAGTTGTTTTGTTAACGGAAATTTATATAATACAAATTTAACCACAATGATAATGAAATAAAACAATAGAAAGTAAACAACAACAAAAAAACTTGTCATACATATACAAGTAAGATAATAGGTAATAAACGTAAACAACTTGTATGATGAACAATAACTGATATTATTGTTAACTGAAAATTATACGATTATAATAAGAACCAATCAACATCGAAGTTTACAGGACAAGCTGTGAAGCATATGTGGAGAAATTCGATGATGTCGTTCAAAAGAACGATGAAAGCTCTAAACCATCCAGCACACAGAACAAAATTCCATCAAGATTATAATAACAATTTGTTATGAAATGAAAAAGATCTATGATGATGACCATTCAATATAAAGAAGATGATGGATCATGAAGACTAAAAAAAGTATACATATAATGATTATAGACAATAATGAGGTAAATGGATCTGTTTTTTTACCGAATAACAGAAAGAAATTTGAAAATTGCTGCCTTTATCATTTCACAGTTGAACAATAAAGATATAAATATTGAAAACATTGAGCAGTGTATACAACCTTGTGAACACAGTAAAACAGCAATAGTCATAATAGTATTGTTAATAATAATACATAGTAATAAAGACAATAATAAATAATCAAATATTAGCGTTAATTGAAAAGAGATTGTCAGTCAGTAACAACGTAGAACTTCGTACGTACGTACATCAGTTCGAGTTGCCATACCACATTAGCACAGGAAAAGAGATTGTAGTTTATCAATACAAAGAAATTATTATTTTAAGAAAAAAAAACAACTGAAAAAAGGAGTATTGCAAAAGTTTATCATACTATTGATAAATTATATAAGTAGACGAATGAATATAGTTCTATTTCATATGCATTATGTTAATAAAAAAAGAGTCTCAAATGAGTTAAATGCTAAAAGATAAACTATCACTAATAACAGGATACTTTAAAATTTCGATGTCACTATAGCAATTAACCAATAAGGGATTTTAATAAATCCTGGAAATAAAATAGCTAAATGTTTCCAACCAATTAATTGTAATAATCCTTTAATAGAACGTAAATTTGTAAAATTATAACCATCATATGATTTTATACCAAATTCTGAAGCTAAATCAGGAGCAAATAAACAATGACCAGAATGTTGAAGTAATTTTTTATTATTTGATTGTTGAGCTAAATATGCAATTACATCACCAAGAACAGGAGCTGGCATAGCTAAATAAAATTGATAAATAATTCTCATTTAAACATTAAAAATTTTTTTTAAAAACATAAAGTTCAACGAAGGGATCTTTTTTCAACGAATTTATTACCAAGTTGTTCCGTCTCCAAGAAAACCCTCTCTATAAGTCTGGAATTGAAAGGGGATCGAACATCTGATGTAATCAAAAATCGCCTAATGATAGTGATTAAAAGAACATTTAATGCGGCAAAACTGTGAATAACCTTCACTAGTACAAACTTATTTTCTGTATCCATAAAAGATAAGCTTCCGCATCTGATCACCTCCATGTGCATCTACCAGTTCAATTGCTCTTGTGGAGCAACATACATTGGCCTTAGCCAGCGTTCGCTTTCAACTCGGATACGAGAATATATCCCAGTTTGGTTCTACAAGGGTAAAAGGAAAGCAGTTAGGAGTTCTATACTTGAACATCTAATCGACTGTAATCATTCTACGGACCCACAGTTTGATTTTAAGATTATTTATATGATTCGTTCAAGCTTACCTAGATTTCTTTGTATCCAACTACTAAAAATAGCCGAAGCTCTTACCATCCATGTGCTCAAATCAGAATTATGCATACAAAAGAAGTAAGTCTTATTGTTATCGTTACCGTGGCCCTAATTAGTATTTTTATTTTATTGTTACTATCACTATTATTATTATTACTGCATTCCCCTTTACTTACGTCTTATATTCTCATTATTTTATTCACATTTCCTCATGGAATTAGTATTTTAACAAAACAATTTTCATATACGTACAGTTGTACAGCTTGATAATAGATTCGTTGAAAAGAGATCCCTTCGCTGAACTTCGCGTTTTTAAATAAAATTGAATTTAAGAAAATAACAATTCATTTTACTTGATAGAAAAGACAACAGTAATTAAAAGAATAGTAGACGAGACTACAATTTATGGGCGAACCAATCAGATTTAGAATAATAGGTCTTGGATTTTGGCGCGAAATTCACTCACCTATTCGTCCAAATAGCGTCTTGGCATTTTAGCTAATGAAAACAATAAATCTAATTCCTAACCATCAGCTGTAAATCATTATTTTTATTCCTCAAACTGCTTTATAACCTTTATTTAGCCTCATTAAGTAGGTAGACGCTCTCAAGGTCACTTTAGCGTCGCTCAAAGGTCGTCTATAATCTCACCGAATAGTAATTTTATTCAACACGAGCTACTTGACTACAAGTATAAAATTTTCATCACTAGGTATGGAAATTTATAATAAATTCATGTATTACATAGACAAATAACATGTGAATATTTATGTAAGAAAAATTTTTTCAATGGACCCTAACTACCATCTTCTTTCGTATGACATATCTAGTACCTTCATACATATCGATAATGCTACAATTCTACTATATTGTTCTCTCCCTTCTCTACGGATAAACGAATAAGAAAACACACTAATCAATATAGAGGTTCCGATTAAATTTTATAACAATTAACTTCATGATGTATTAAACAATTTTTAAGGTAGGATATGAGCAAATGAGAGTCAATACATATATTGTTAGTCAGTTGAAACAACTTTATAATAATAATATTTGAACAGCAAGGAAATGGTCGAGCTAGAAATCTTAGTAAGCTAACAGTGGTAAAGAAAGAAAGACTGGATTTGAATACAACATGGAGAATTCTTTCTCACATTAGTAAAGTTTTATTTTTCAACTAAGAGACCTTTCGGTAAAATGAGAAGACTAATGAACAAGCTAACACTCACAACCGATGACTGTTTTCATGAATTCTATCTCTTTTTGAGTTTGCTAATTACAGTATTCACATAATTCATACAAGAAATTTACATAGGTAATGATAGGAATACAGTTATTTGATTGTTGGTGAAGTAGCAGTTCAGTAGTTAATGTTTAACTTTCAAACACTACATCATAATTTCAAACTAGGCTCTAATTTGCTTCAGTTTGCTCAACCAGATAGTATCACAAACCACCACAATTAAATTGTGGCTAGAACCCATACATATAAATCTGTATCTGGTGAATGAGACACATTACCTTTCTAGCTGCAGTTTTTTCGGTGCTACTATCTAACAATCATCTGAAAGTTTATATATGTGTAGGATTGATGTGAATAAAGAAGCAATGATAGAAAAATGAAGCTATTTTTGGAGACGTTGTTTTACTTTATTCGAAGTTTGTGAAATACTATGACTTAGTTCTGTCCTTAAGTTATTCTATAAAACAAAATGTTTCGTTCGATGTATTATTCACTGACATATCCTTTTCTGTTCCAAAGCTATCGTAAGTTAAATGTAACTTTTGTACCGTATTTTTATACCATAATGATCAGTTTGGACATAATTGTACTTTCCTAATTGTTTGTGCGTTGTGGACGTGTTAATTATCTATTTATCCATGTATCTTTTTACATTGATCTGAGTTGAGAATCAAGATTAAATCGAGTAGTGTTCTAGTTGACTCGTCTCCTCTCTTACTTGTCGACCAATCAGCTGGTAGAAGTTTTTGTCTCTCTGTCCAAGGCCGTTAGTCTCAATTCGGACTCATGCATTTCTAGCCTCAATGTTAAACCAGTTAGCCTTAAACCAGATCGATACAAGCTATCTTCTGTATATTATTGGGTAAACAAATCAAGGACATAACAAGGATACATTACTTAGATTTATAAACATTAACATAGTTTGTATCGATATTCAATTAGTTAAAAGTTGAATGTTCAAGCCAATAAATAACAGCTATATTTAGTGGTGAAGATCTAAATGTTAATTGGAGTAGGCGTTTTCAAGTCCAAATTATAGACAGTTAAATCCATTCTTTCTATGGGACATAATCTATATGTTTAGATGGAATGAAGTGTGTCATTAAATATTCAAGGTAGTTATTTTTAGACATTAGGTGATTGATTATGACTAACTATCCCACTTACCAACAATATTTTATTTTCAAGTTAGTTAGCTTTCAGGAGACGATTTTGTATAAATTGTGGGCTGTTCGAATCACAGACTGACATCAACATGATCTAAGGATTATACGCTCAATATTGTGTAAGGTTGCAGGTGAGCACTGCTGTTAACTTCAGAAACAAAACGAATAATCATTTAGCTAACGTTCAAATAATTTCTAAATGCATTCAATAAGAAACTTGAAAATAATTATTAATATAAAATTTACCCATTCTTAAACTGGCATCATATCCAAACAGTTTAACTGAATTGCCACTTTCATAGGCTGAAACAACTGATTCTGTTTGTATAAGTCCAGGTATAATACTGACAATACTAATATTTGCATTATGTTTTTTCAGATCACGTGCCATTTCTTGACTAAGTCGATCCAAAGATGATTTACCTTGATTAATATAGAATCGAATATGAACATTTTCGTAACAGATAAATGATTATTAGTTAACATAACTGATATAAACCTTACGAATTTAATTAAAGGGATTTTGTAAAGATTGGTTTAATTCGTGGGTAGTATTCATCATAGATTTAAATTAGCTATGGCACCACTAAGAACCAATATAGCACTGGACAGCTATTTCTTCCTGGTGTACAACTCTCCACTACTCCACAATGTCAACCCCATGGAACCTGAGTCCTAAACGTTTCATAGTAAGTGATTAAAAACAAGGGCCACTGGATCAACATTCAATGTTACAACTTCAATTTCAATGAATTTGCGACAGAGAGTGATGGTCATCAATTTCTGGAGAATACAACCTGTGAATTAAGACCAATCTCCATAAAAACCTTTCAAATAAACTACTATATTAATGACATAAAAATTATTAAATCTTATGAATTGTTAAGAAAAAGATCATAGAATCATGACATAGAAACATTGTATTATTTACCTGTCGCATTAAAAAGTTAGGATAAGATATATCAGTCAGTCAACTACAACGTAGGATCAGGCACTTATGTGCATCGGTCCAAGTTGCCGTACCTCATTAGCACAAAAAGATGAACATCGAATTCATAGAAGAAGTTAATTCAGTGGTGATAATATATAAAAGAAAGATTGTATATAAGAATATAGTACAGGAAGAAAGAATTAGTTCGTAGAAAGAAAGATATGAAGTGATTTTAATCTCGTAGCTTAAGGGAAGACAGAGAGTGTAAACACTTTCGCCACTGTGATCGATTCTGAGCTATGTCATGCAGAGTCTACAACCACTGGATACGATGGTCACGCGGACCCCAACCAAGTAGTCTGCATCTACCAACATGGCTCAGATTAGAAGTTAGTAACTTCAAGCACTAATAAAACACATAAATGATCAACATTGTTCGTAATTAAATCTTCATCAGCCATAAATCGTAGATTCCTTTGAACGATTTATATTTCCTAAATATGTATCTAAATATCACTAGATCTTTAAGAAAAAGTTTATGAAGAAGTGGTTGAAACCAATATTTTCTTTTTAATAAGTTTTGTTCTAATTTTTAACATATTTAGAAATTTTCACAGATTGAAATCATGAGTCAGTTGAAGCTAGACCACCATTGAAAACCTGGAAGCACTGGACGGCCGTTTCGTCCTAGTGTGATTTCATGATTTCAATCTGTGAAAATTTCTAAAAATCTCCACAAAACACATTCTGATAATAATAATAATAATAATCACCTGCTCACTAGTGACTGACTTCAGGATACACTTCTGGAGTTCTAGTGAGAAGTCGTTACCAGTGGAGTTCAACCAGGTCTGTTGTGAGATAGGAACTCACTGAAGACAATGGTGTACGGTAGCGCAACTTCGTGGATTGGTTGAAGTTAGACATTAACACCGTTGGATGCCGGCTCAGTGATCTGATGGTTAAGTGCTCGCGCGCAAAGCCAGTAGGTCCTGGGTTCGAACCACGCGGGATGCAGGGTCGTGGATGCGCGCTGCTGAGGAGTCCCATACTAGGACGAAACGGCCGTCCAGTGCTTCCAGGTTTTCAATGGTGGTCTAGCTTCAACTGACTCATGATTTCAATCTGTGAAAATTTCTAAAAATCTCCACAAAACACATTCTGATAATATTTAGAAATAACGCAGTTATCGACTGAGGTCATCAAGAACACAATATAGTAAAAATCATTAGTTTCTTAATTTGGAATGACATGCATAATATGGAGAACTTTCACACTTTGAATTATAATCAGTTCGAGAGGTCATATTGCAGTATAGGAGCCTAAAGAGAAAGAAAAAGCGATTCACTATGTTATTGAGTTTTTTAATTAATTTTAGACAATGATGAACTTTATCTGGAACAAATATGTATCGAACCGAGTTACAACCACAACAAATCAGTACAGCAAGGTCAAGTTAACAAGATGAATAGCAAAAGAGTCAATGTGACAGTAGTGATTATGATCGCGAAAATGATTGAACGAAAATGTAATTTGAAAAGAAACGGATGAATCCACGGAATAATAGTATGAAACAATATTATAACTATGGATCAATTAACATGAAAACGATTGTATTGCATTACTGCAATAGATTATTATATTACTTAAAATCTAACGTAAACGGTACATTGCAATAGATAATGTTAAGTAGAAAAACAACTCTGAAAATTCACAACAGAATAAAGAGAACATTAACTGTGACGAAAACTAATCTCCTAATTGGAAAAACTTAAAAACACCACGTTTTGTAGAATAGATTGTGGCTAGCAGTGAAATACAGTAAGCATGTTTAGCTTCATTTGAGACTCGTCATTTGGATGTACCTGCATCCCAGTTTAAACAAATCCATTCGTTGATAAAGGTATATTACCACTCTCAGGAAATATGTAGGAAAATTATATCTTCGTGATCACTGCTCATCATTCAGTGGATTCTATTCCTTTTTTATTTTCATACTTCAATTATTCACATTAAACAGGAATGAGACATCTGACGAAATTACAAAAACTGTATGACGACAGTACGTATTGAAAACAAACTGTTATTTATTAAGTCAACCAACAGAAATGTTGATTGTCGATTAAATTAGATCCTATCGAATTGTAAAAACACGAAAATTATACATTAGATACTTTAAAAATGTTGTTTTCCATGTTCAGCTAAAAATAATGGTGGAACTACTACTATGTAGCATTAACAGATCTCTAATATTACGATAAACTTGTCAATATACGAAACCTATGATCAACCAGCTCCATATATTTACGCGCATATCATACAGTTTTAATGTTAATGAACAAACTACAACACATGACACTAATTAATCAAGTTATTCATGGTTATTCGTATAGTAGTGTTTAGTGGAGATTGTTGACTTTTAAAGTTGGCATCACGGATTGACCTTAGACAACTGTTAACAATCAGGAAGCCCTGAACACCCGTTACGTCCTAGTGTGGAACTCCTCAGCAGTGCCCATCCATGACCTCAATGAGAACTAAGCCCAAGACTTTTCGTCGAGTATTTAATCTTTAGGTTATTGAACCAGCAACTAACGGTTTGAAAGTCCTTGACGTGTAAGAAGTTGTGAATTTCTTAAGTGACATCAGTCATATGACTGAAATTAAGTGTTATAAGGTAAATATTATGAAATGAAAGAGACTCGTTGATTCATCAGAAAGCGATATGACCTAAACTGGATATCCGCGATGACCCAGTGTATTTTTGAACTGTTTAGTAACTAGATTATATATATTTATACTCCTTTTATCCTACGCTTTAATCTGACTTACTGACCACTATTATTATACGATTTACTATTCACAAGATATTCCCAATTTATTAGTTGCAATCTCTCACAATCACAGCCACTTTTGGCCTGAACTTGTATAATTGTTATTTTTTCATTTCATGGCCTCATTCAGCCTGGTCTGTTTGTATATAAACCACGTATGTCTGAAATATATGATTTATACAATGGGAGTTGATATTCGTGTTCTTCGGACTGGATAGGCAAGGCTAGACGAGAAGGACCAATAAATACTCTGAATTACTGATACAGGTCAACGCGTCATTGGTTTGATACAGTGCTAAGATTGTATACGTTGTATTCTGATTGGCAATCAGATCACGTGATAACTAACCGGGCAAAAGACACAACACGTATTAATATGAAAGGAAATTTAAAGTAGAAATATGTACACCTAAAATGTTGGTATCTAATTCAATTTAATTTTTATTTAGGTTTTTCTAATTAACTGAGTTGTTCACACACACATTACCATATAAAATGAACATGGGTTCCTCAGCTTTGTGCATCCACAATTTCGCACACAGGACTCGGACCCAGGACCTTCAGTCTCGCGCGCGAACACATAAACCTCTAGACTACTGAGCCAGCATCCAACGGTGTTAATGTCTAACTCCAATCAATCGAAGTAGATTAATGATTTCGCTTTTTTTATTATCATCATTTATGTAAATAAGCGAAAATAATTCACTTGATATTGTTTGGCTTGTATCTTCAATTGAGGTTTAAGACTGCAATTGATCAGTCTGTTATTGGCATATGTGCATACTGTGCGTATGCCTCGATATTGCCTTAATTCACAAGCTATTTATAAGCAATGATGGATAGTGGCTATTAGTGGAATCTAGGACGCGCGTTTCGTCCTATTTGGGACTCGTCAGCTGGATGTACCTGTATCTCTGGGACTCGGACCCATTTTCATACGCCTCAAACGCCATCGCGTTATCCACTCAGCTACTGAGTCCTTAATATATGTTTTTCCACATGATAACAACAGACATAAAGATAGACTTATGTAATATTGAAACCAATTTAAATGAATAAACAATGAATTAGAAAAACAAAAATTGAATTTATTCCAAGTTGTCAATATCTGTGATGATAAGAGAGTGAAGAAAAGGAACGAATAAAAATGTAAAATTTAAGAATACGATAACAGAAGAATTTACTAAATAAATTAAATGAAATTCATTTCGTAGTTTGATTTCTATCGACTTACGTACAACTCGAATGGTTCACTAGAGATGTGAACCTGATTTATTATGTACTAAATTATATCGGTAATAATGTTTATCACTGCGATCATGTTAAGTAGCATGGAATAGTATATATAGCCACAAGTTTACAAATATTTCTTGCTGGTTGGTATGCACAACTAGTACAAACATCTAACATCCATAACCTTATGATCATTACAGTCAGTGATATTTGTACACTTTTTGAAATTATACACTTTTTATTTTTATAACAAACTAATAACAATCTATTGTTAATTACCTGCACAAAATGCAGCATTAAATATCCTTGTAATTCCACCGAAACTAGAAATGTTTACAATTAATCCTGTAGGTAATGGTTTATTATGAATAAGTGAAGTTGTTATACTATTAGAATGATTATATGCATTTTCATCATTATTCCTTGTTAAATCCATTGATTCTTCACGACATTTTATCATCATACGTGTAGCTAATACATTACATATATATGCATTACGAAGTCCAACTCGATTAATTAAATCCCATTCTTCATTTGGACGAAGTTTAGATTCCCAATATGGTGAATTATTATTATCCAATAAATAATCAGTTGCACTAAATGCACAATTTACAAATATATCTAAACGACCACATTGTTCTTTATGAATACGAGAAAATAGTCCTGCAACTTGTGTATCATCAGAATGATCCACAGCAACAGTGATTGCTTTCTATTATACAAAAAAAATGAAACTAAATCAAGTAAAGAAATTAAATCTTTCACTTGTAATAAGATTATTTAGTAAAGATAGAATATTACAAGATGTTGTATATATCATAAAACAACATAGTCAGTCAGCTACAACGTAGGACCAGGCACATATATGCATCGGTCCAAGTTGCCATACCTCATTAGCACAAAAAGATTGTATAAAAGGAAGAAAGAACTAGTTCGTAGACAATTTTTAGTAATTTCAATCTCAAGGATTAAATGAAGGAGAAGGGTGTATACACCGACGTCACTGTGATCGACTCTGAGCCATGTCACCAAGAGTCTTCAACCATTGGTTACGATAGTCACGCGGACCCCGACCAAGTAGTCTGCATCTCCCAACATGGCTCAGACTACAAGTTAGTGTCTTCAAGCACTGATGCCACGTTTTGGTTTGGTCGCACCTAACTTTCTTCCAACCATTCTTCAACACCGGATAGCATTGCACGTCGTGGTAACACATGGCCCAACCATCTCAGTCGATATAGATTCACAACCTCACCACCTGATTTACCATCATTCCCCAATACCCTGCGTCTAACCTCCCTATTACTTACCCGGTGATTCCAGCAGATGCCAGCAGTATTTCTAAGGCATCTGTGGTCAAATACTAGTAGCTTACGGGTGTCTTCTACTCTTAATGGCCATGTTTCGCTACCGTAAATTAAAACAGAACAGACTGCCGCGCAGTATACTCGTCCTTTTATTGATAGACGGATATCTCGCCTTCGCCTTAGGTGACGTAAGTTGGCAAAAGTCAAGCGATATTTTTGAACAATATAACTACCATTAAGATACTCTTTTTATCAGAAAAAGCTGATATGGCACATTATTATTAATCAGAAAGAATGAAGCAATATCGGGAAACAAATAAATGTCAATACAGAAAGTAGTAGCTGTTATGGAAATATGTCAGTTTTAATTACTCTACTTTGTATTAACATAACAAAAGGAAAGCAATTAAATATAAAAGAAAATGAATAGAAAACAACAGTCTGAAAAGATTAACAACAGTATTGATAAATGAAATGCTATTATAACCATTTAGGCATCGTATTGTCTACAGTTTTTTAACCATAGACTAAGACTATCTAATGCAGTCTAAGTGTTTCTCAACAGTTCAATCAGTCAGTGAGTTTTTATGCGAACTAATGCTGTGTTTATCTGACCATAATAACAACCCTTCTCTAATTTTTTCTCATTCTAACTACCGTTGTGCATTTCTTATTTAACTTGCCTGTTTTATCTTAATCCAGACATATTCTGTACCTGTCCTCGTATCCCATTCCAGGGATAAACAGTAGGTGAGGTGATGGTACACAAGGCACGATATTGCATGAGGCCGATTATCCACTTAGACAAACATACCAATCCAACTTACCAGCGAAATGAAACGAAAAATGAACCAAACTACACCATATAAAAGAAATATTAGAATAAGAATAAAGAGAATTCAGCGATTTTCTTTTAGATGAAGTCGTTTACTGAAGCTGTACATTCATAATTATAGTTGTATAGTAAATATATGTCTATAGAAGGATAGAAAAGATTGCATCATAAAGCGATTCAAAACTAAATACTAAATTAGGTTACGTAATAATCAGGGGGTTAGAGAAGAACAGGAGTGTAGAAATAATTAACGGGTCAGAAAGATAATTGTGTACTTGACAGATATCCAGAAAAATGAAAAACATAAAGGTCATAATAACAACCTGATAATAATCATGAAAAATTTTTAAAGGATTTAAATTACAAAACATACTACAGGAGGGAATCAGGGCTAAGGAACGTTAAGACGTTGAGCATAACACTTTTGCACGTAGAGTTCGGGCTTGAATTGGTGGATCGCCAATGCCTTAACAGTGCATAAGTTTTTTATTGGACCTCTCTTTGATCCAGTTCGATTGTTTGTATAAATTAGTTTAAAGAACGTTCCCTTAGGAGCGACATGTCCAGACTTGATTAAATGTTCATGTATTGAACTGATAACTGTTCGGTTATATCTCATAATTCTGACCCGTTTCGACCTGTATTGAAGTGGTGACTGTCTCGCATTCTGCTTTTAAAAGTCACTCCGGATAATGTTCTGAGATGTGTTTGCAAAGTGATCGCTTTGTGCGACCATTGTAACCTGCCAAACAGTAGCAAGTAAATCTGTAGATGCACATCGATATGGTCCAAAGCGGAAGTTTATCCTAAGCACATCTATGAATGATAGACTGACTTGAGAAGACAATACAGAGCGTAGCTGAATAGGTTTTATTGAGGGATTTTGAAATCCGTTTGAGAGTTCAGTAGCCGTATCTCCTTTACATTCGATAATCATAAGAAGTTTTCTTTGAACTGTTGTTGTTGTCTTGGTGCTAATTTCCTATCGACGAATATAGGTGGATAACCATTTTTGACGAACATTTGTCGAAGCTGAAGTAGTTTGTCATCTATCGTATCATTAGAAAATATTCGCCTAATCCTTGAGGATAAAGAGTGCATTAGGTTTCGCTTTCTAATCAATGGGACCCAGCTACAGTAATTCATATACTGAACATTCCAGGTATGTTTTCTATATAAAGATCTCCGTAAAAAAGCCATCTGACCTTTTCGACGAGACATCAAGAAAATGAAATTCCCCACTGCCTTCTGCTTCCAATGTGAATCCAATTGTCTATGACAATTATTGAGTCGATTCAAAATTTTATTTACGTCCATATACCCTTCAGAAATAAAGATATCATCCACATATCTCTTATATAGATGAAATCTTCCAATTATTGGTCGAAGTACCATATTTTCTATCTTGACCACGAAACACTCAACCAAGAGAAGCCTATTGGTGAACTAAATGCAACTCCATCGGTTTGTTTATAGAAATCACTGTTAATTCTGAATTGCACACTGAGAATACATCATAGAAGTACCTCATTTAGATAATGTTTTGGGATACAAATATCAAGGTTGTTGTTTTTAATATAGTCAGAAAAAATAAAGTTTCTGTGAGTGGGACATTTGTAAACGAAGAAGTTACATTCTGTTATAACTTGTAGTCTGTATCCTGCTAATGGATAACGCAACAATACCGCCAATTAGAGAGTAGTGAATTATCGGTCGGACCAGTGACGCGTAAAACCCGTACGAACAGTCTAGAGTCCTTATCGATCCTGCTTTCCGCCTAGTATAGCCAGTTAAGTCCAGAATACAAATCTCAGCCTCTGCAATATGAATTATTTATTTCAAACACACTGGTTTATACACCAGCCGAACAGACTACACCGTGCCATAAAATATGAAACAACATTTGTACAAGAGTTAGCCAAATGTGGCTGTGAATGAGAAAGGTAGTAATTAATAGACAGGGTATAATTCAAGAATGGTAAACCGTATAATAATAGTTCATAGGTCAAAATAAAGTTCATAATAAGAGAGACATGAATATGAACAGTTTAGGTATTTGACAATTATACGATAAAAACATACGCATATTATTAGTCCATAAATGGATCCCAAAAGTTACCATTCATTATGCGTATCAGGACCTAACACATTCAATGAGATCATTCACATTGATATTTCTAATTGAGTCGACAAAGTCAAATGAATAAAGAGTTGTATCTATTGATATGATTGCTGGTGGGTTGTAAAACTTCATTTAACCATTTAGCAATCAAATGGTACGGAGAGTTATTTATACCAAGTATAGGATGTAAGAGAACATTCTTTTTATGAGCTTTCGGGAGTTCGTATAGACTCAGCATAGTTAAACCTGATGATTTAAGATGTTAATAAAAGTCACAATTGATAATAAACTCATCTTCTTTAGGATTTTAGTTAACATCTGTTCCGTTTTCTCAGTTGCACCTTTTTGAAAGGTTTCTCTAGATAATCTGACAGCATCAGATAATATTGAGGATATATTGATGACATAATTATGAATATTCATGAGGACAATTCCTGCACTCCTATCTGGGCGACATAGAACTAAATCCTGATTTCTCAGAAGATCAAATAATCGAGATTTATGTTCTTTTGTGATTAGTTATTTAGTTTCAGGTATTGTGTTTACATATTGATTACAGCAGTCTACAAGTGTTGTTCTGAAAATTTCATAATCCCTATTAGATACGGGGGTAATGTCACCTATCAGACGAATAAGGCTTTCAAACAGGACTTTAGCGTTGCGTTCATTAGTATTAGTTGATGTACTACAAAATTTAGGACCAAGTGATAATGCTGGTAGCTGAATAATCGAAAATGTTATACTAGAGTAATTGACCTATATGTTTCTCGTGGTTTCTTCATATCTGTCAAGCGAACAATTAACTTTAGTAGTTCTGACCCATAAATTATTTTAATCCCCTTATTCTTCTCTAATCCTCTGATCATTACGCGACCTCATTTGATATTTAGCGTCTCGAATCACTTTACGATGCAATCTTTTCTATAGACATACATTTACCATACAACTATAATTACGAATGTACAGCTTCAGTAAATGACTTCATTTAAAAGCACATTTTCGCTGAATTCTCTTTCTTTTTGTTTGATGAAATACGAGAAACAGCAACGATTGAAGCCATTTGGAACAGAAGTGACGTATAAGCTGATAAAATCACTAATGCAAACCAAGGGGCGAAACAACAACAAAAAACCGAACATAACCTTAGAAATAAACCTTTCCAATTCCGACAAACTATATCGAGCAAACAGGACACCTAATTTATCTTCGACTGTATGAACATTGATTAGCGGTTAATTGCCATGATATATCTTTGGTTATATAAATGTATATGGACGATTTCGTACACACATTTGACTGGAAGATTGTCGAAATTTTGGAGAGGGAATACTAACAACATCAGAGAATTTTTTGAAGCTTGGCACTCAGGTTAACCAACAGCACATCGAAATCGACCCGATTTATCAACCAGTCAAAAAAATCATATGCGAATGTAGAACCAAGAATCAGGTCAGAAGGAGATACAATCAAAATAAAGAGGTTGATAATAACAGGTTAGACGTCGACACTAACCCATCAAGATTGAGATCAACAGGCTTTTGGTCATAAGTGTAAAAAAATTAAATACTTAACTTCTAACTGAAGTTTTTGTTGGTGATGTTGCTCAGAATGACAATGAAAACTCCACGACCAAAAAATCCTACCCAGAAAATGAAACTTCACCAAAATCATTAACACGAGCTACAAATCTTCTCTATCACCTCAAAATCATGTGGGAGTATATTGAACTTAGTCTATTCATTCCTAAGTCACACAGAACATTTTGTTTTGTAGTCATGTGGTGAAATATTCGACACCCTTAGGGGATACGTTCTTTACGAATAATGATTAGAAATCAGAGCAGCTAACTGATATGTGATCTTATATTAAAAAAAAATAATTTTCACTGACAAATTTTTAACAGATAAAGAAACAGGATTCTATTTTATAACAATAATTCATAGTAAAAATAAGTCAACACTTAAATAACCTTTTCTAGATGCTTTGAATGATGAAATTCTTCTAGTGTGTTGTATACAGTAAGGTAATATTAACTTATGGATTTTCAAACGGTATTTAATTTGACGCTTTATGGTGGGTTACATACGAGTAGATTCAAAAATGAGTATAGACTAAACGACCAGTTTATCAAGTTACTAAATAATGAAATGAAACGTGTAGGAAAATACAGATTCTTTGTTCGTTGTTCAAGAAATGCTCATAATCTACAGTTAAAAACTTTGAGCGTTATGGCACGAAATTCAGTTATGATGGTACATATGTACACATTCGCAATCATCTCCTGAAATTCATGCTTCCGATATATCTTTCGTTTACTGATTTTTATTCGTTCCTAAATGCGCTAATTACTATTGATAATAAATTTTGTGATTAGTTTAATCCAGCAGTATTCATCAAGAATTGACATTAACTAGGATAATTTTGGAAACCAGATGAAACTGAACGGGTTTCATCTTACCAAGAAACCTCGTTAATAGTGTGAGATACTTTCCTTATAATTTTAATAGTAACGGTTAGCTGACTTCGACTGCATGCTGATAAATTAACTGTACGAATCCTTGGCGGTAAAAGTTATGTGGAAAATGTTAAGATGACTGCGAAACACAAATAGAAATATTATTTTTCAAAACTTACTCCACCTGATGCATTAATAATACGGGCAGTATCACGGAGACTAACTCCTCCTTTACCATTTTCTTCTGAAAGAGTTCTTCCAGTAAGGTAAACGGTAGCTCCTGCCTTACCAAGGCCGATAGCTATACCTTGGCCGACACCGCGACTAGCTCCTGTAACCACGCAAACATAGCCAGAGAGGTCTGAAGGCATTTGAATATTTATGATGCTAATTCGTCGAAACGTTTTAATGATCTGAGCACTAGCTGTAGCCTGACTGATATGGAAATACTGTTTAAACTTTGTAGTATAGGATTTAGTCAGCTTTCACACAAACCTGAAATAGATTTGAACGATAAAGTATTCGAGGTCGAGTAAGAAACAGAAACTCAATAAGATGTTAATAACAAGAGAAATTAATCATCACTGACCACGAATGCAGGTAAATTTCAGGCACGTTTAAAATAAACGTTTTCTGAAAAATTTAAACAAATAGTTATTTCGGTTAAATCATAAGGTAAAGTCACTACTCTAGGTTATGTGTACATATACCACAGTGATGTCACCTTTTTTCTGGTATCAATTAACTTTTCAAGTTGGAATATCTTTTCGCATGCACTTTTTTTCTAATATCAATCCTCAGGGATTTGGCCTTCCACACCAGCTAGGAACCAAACTTTTTCTTCGTAGCTAAACACAGAGTATATTTTGAAACTGAAGGTAATTATCTTAAGAATTTACCAGAATGAGCAGCTGGAAACATAATGAGCTACAACAAGAAATGTTATTGGGCTGTGCACATTAGCAGCAGCACGAACTGTTGGTAATATTCTGAAAAATCTTAAGGATAAATGACAGAAATTACTAATCGAACTGAGAAAAAGAGTCCTTCCAACATTTTCCTATCCTTTTACTACATCTAATTTTTTTGCTGCTACTACTTATATTACTCTGGAATTAATTTTGAAAGAATTTTATCAAGCTATGCAAATGTGGAGTGGTGACTTGAACCGATGCATATGTAATAGGTCCTATGTTGAGTATAGTAGTGGTGTGAATGATAGTTAGTTAACGAGAGATAAAAAGTTTTTTTTCATTTCGATGTAAAATGAAGAACCGTGTATGTTAACTGCAAAAGAATTAATTCGATTAAAAGTCTTTCAAAGTTCCAAAGTATGGTCATTCAACTGATAAATAAAGACAAAAATAAGGTAAAATATGCAAACAAAGCAAAATTAAGAACTGGTAAGTGTTTGGCCGACTAAATCTTCACTCGCACGACGGTTATTTGGGGGGGGGGGAGACATTCCCCCCACCAATTCACCAGTTGTTTGCTGTGACTTGGAGATAATAGTTTGACTCTATCGACTCTGAATTTGTATGGAGGCATTAAACAGGTGCACCTTAATGCTAAAACAACACTAATCAGATTTAGAGATTTTTGTAAAAGATTAAGAAGAATTTTTCTATCTGAAATAATCACAAGTCATGTTTGCTGAAGATACCTAACAATTGTATTGATCAACTGCGCCACAAACAAACCGATCCAAATAGCTATGTTTGCCTTGTTTGTTACTAGGATTACCGGTTTACCACCAGTTGGTCAATGAAAGTATCCATGGACCAGGCTGTCAAACTTCATATCAGTACAAAGAGGGAAAATCAACATCACAACAAAATGAATCCAAACAATACTCATGCTATTGAAAGCTAGATACAGAGAGTATATTTTGAAATGAATGCATGAAGTCACATACTTAAGTATGAAATAGAATTAAAGGTTTACAATCTGAAAGGAAATATAAAAGTGAATTTATCTGCGCCACTACCACTGACTTTGGATCATTATCGACTTGATTATCTTGCAAACACAAACCTAAAACCTACATATTCTGGCATAGCTTACTTTACTGATCACTTATTTTATGAAATGATGACGTGTATGTGATGGCTTTTAAGTCCATACATCAGTTCCTCACATGTACGCACACAACCATCCATATTGTAACCCACATATAAAACAAACAACTAAATTGCAGTAAAAAGTTTACACTAATATAATATGTATTTAAAAACCGCCATTTTCACTTTAATAGAGGAGTTGGGAACCACATCGATAAATCCAGGTCTTTGTTGAAAAGCATTACTTAAGATATTAAAGTTGAAATTTGGGGGATAACGTGTAGAATCTTGGAATTTAGAACAGACTGAAAAGAGAATGACATGTAAACAGATCGGTCCTGAGCGCCTTTGAAATTTTATCGTGTTTTGGTCAGTGTTTTGAACATATGTATGTAATTTTTTTACGTGTAAAAACGTATGACTAGAGGCATCGTGGTCGATTTCACATCACCCAATAGCTTACGTTATTAACAGATCTGTGAGCTAAAATTACATAATATCATTGAACTTTAACCTTTCCTTTAAAAAACCGAAAGACCATTTATCAAAAATAAGAGCGTAACTAAAAATACAGTATTCTATGGAATGCAACTAGTAACCACTTTTCAGAGGTCGTACAAGCGCATTGTGATGGACATAATGTGAACAAATCGTGGTGTATATTCTTCAGAAATGATGAAGATTAAAATTGAAGAACTCTATTTTTAGTATTCTTGAATCTAATAGTTTTCTCCACAGGACTTTCACAGCATCCCCAAAACTGTCAATATAGAAAACGCCACTGCATTAAGATTCCTAGATTTTGGGAACGTCTGGCATCATTCGAAAAATTTTGCATATGACGAGAGAGCATTATGTTCTTAGGTTATAACCTAAGAACATAATGCTCTCTCGTCATATGCTTAATCACTAGTTCTTATAAGAACTAGTGATTAAGCACTTAGAACAAATTCGCATGGACGTATAGGTGGTTCTACTTCATATTGATTAATTTATTTGATAAAAATTTTCAGGTAGATATCGTTTGATAAGGTGTCCAATGGGATAAATCTACCTAGAATGATTAATTCCACTGGATTCGGGAAAAGACAAAACGGCGGGTTACAGAGTACAAAGCAGTTTTCATTGAAACGAAGCAGATAAACAAAGTCTAGTAAGAACAGCAATGCAAAACTGCGTAAATAGACACCACCAAATTAGCTTCTCATATTTATTAACTCTGTTTAAATCAGTAAATGTGGAATCAACGAATGTCATTGGTTTGATTCATTCTTCACATCGTTGAGCATTTCCATTTCGACATGGAAAGGGTGATTGTATGTCAGAGGTTAAAAATGCTGAGTCATAAATAACTACATCCTCTTCCTTGGCGAACTCAGACGATATCTGGAATGCCAGAGAAGTTTGTTCCATGCTGTAAAGTTATATATGGATATTTTATATTTTGTGATTACTTTTGTGTCCAATATCCTGTAACAGCATAGGTTGGTTGGTTAAGAGTTGACCCCAAACAACCAAGCATATGCCAAAACAGTATTGTTCAAGTATTCATTCACTTCCTTATTTTGTATAAGCGTTATATTCCTTATTATCTTATATTGAATGTTGAAAGACTTTGTTTGTCTGAACAAATAATCCCACGCTCCACTGTGACTGCGCTAAGATCGAAATAAAGACTAATTCACTTTTTGTCTGGCTTCTATCAATAACACGAGGGTTACCTATAGGCACGAAAATCCTTTGCACATCTTGTCCCCATCAAGCTAGCACATATGCCTAATCTTATATGAACTGATACTCTCACATCGGCTATCACGCATTTTGTATCATCTTAACCTAAAAGCACTGGCGCCATGTTCTGCTATGGATAAACTAAATACCACGAACACGTGACAACATATGAGATTACGCACTTACTTACAGCATCGAACGCAGCACATAGCGATTTCAATAAACAAATTAACTCTTGAATGCGTTCTACGGAAGTCTCAGGATCACACGAGACCCTAAAATAGAGTGTCTTTAGATGTAAAGACTTAACCGATCGATAATGTTGGATGGTGAAGTGCTTGGCTCATGGAAAGGGTCTTATCAGTGAGAAAATTCACTGTCTGATGAGCCTCTGACAAAGTCCGCATTAGACAGCCATTCTTGTCCGAGCTTCTAATGTAGGTACTTGTCGTACTCGTATCGTCTCAAAATAGTGCTTCATCAGACGATCGAATTCTATAGGTCACCAAAAACCTCAGAACCGATGTTCACTCAATCATAAAGAAACATTATATGAGGAAAATCAAAAACGAGGATCCTTGCGGTAACTTTGCTCATTTCCTTAGACTCACCTGAGAAAACTGAAAATTTAGAGCTCTCCAGAAAGATTGTAGAAGTCGTTGAGTCGCGATTGACTATGACCACCACTACAGGGAGATTACTTACCAGATATTAGGTTTGATCTTTTTGTAGACCATAAATTACAAGACAATTGACTGTCGTAATAGAATATATTTGTTGGCGATCTCGTGGTGTCGAAATAATACCGAGATCATGCCAAATATTACAAGCGGGTCTACGTAGCGTGCGAGGTCACAGTAAACGTGAGCAGGTAGGATTTTGGAACATTTAAACAAACAGGTACAGTAAAACAAGCGCTGGTACAACTGGTTGTAATAACAATTGTTCCCACTATACCAATCGCGTTCTCTTGTTAAAAATAGATCACTACGTGAGCACCCCTTTGCTAGAAAGGAGTTACACTTTCGATACGCAGCGATTTCGTTCGTGGGACTTTAGGACTAAAGGGTCGCCAAACAAGAAACGATAGTTGATCCTCGAGTTGTCAACTAAGGTCTTTTACGTAGAACGGTACCAGAAGAAACGTGCTCTACTTGTTGCTCGCGTTAGCGTACCACACCAGACAGGTTTGTATCCCGGATCTAAAGAATGCGTTCGTGTGCATGCGGACCAGTAAGCGCTGCAGACGGAGGATTGGACCACATTGAGCCAAGAAACCAGAAGCGACCATAACGATCAAGCGCGAGATCAAATGTATGCCAGACAGGTTCGAAACTTGAATTTCGACTGAGTGCGTTGACAACAGCGTGTGTGATCAAGCCAACTTTCGGCAAAATTGGCTGAAGTTGACGGTACCAACAGAGTAATGGTCGGAGGCGTGTGCTCAGGATACTAAAAAATAAAAAAGAAGAGAAAAGGTGTAGCATTCATTTAGTATAGGGATTGTCCTACACCGTATCCGTTGTTGATTGCACGGTTAGTCGCAAAAGCGTACGGATAAGCGTACTCGGTGACCAGAACGTGAGACGCTATTCTCGTTCATGCTCCATGAGCCTACTATATCATCCGAATTCAAGAGACGCGTGGTCTGCTGATCTGGACGTGAGACTGAAGTCTCGTCCGTAGATGGTGCGGGTGACACGTGTTGTTGACTGGGACGTGAGAATGAGGACCTTGAAGTCTCTAGCGTGGGATTCGAAGTAGATGCAGAGATCCCGCTGGTAGGTTTGATGGGTCTAGCATTGGATCTCAACTTATCAGGTAGGGCACTATGATCGACGTGTGCTCGCTCGAGACGATCAATTCTGAGATCTCGGCGCAGCCATGTCGATCAACCTTGAAGGTCTCTTCGTGACGAGAAATCACGTGAGATGGTCCTTCGTAAGGCTGTTGCAGAGGTTTGCGTACCGAATCTACTCGTATGAAAACATGTGAACAGGTAGATAACCTTCGAGGGAGAGTGACCTGCCGATGTTGTATTCCAGTTGACAACAGGGACAGTGTTCGCACAAATTCAGACAGTCGTTGGACGTAGTCTGATTTACCTAAATCCACTGATACCAAGACCAACTCTCTCGAACCTTCCTTCACCAGCACGTATTACTGAGAATGGTAGGAAGCAGATTTAGGCGTGTTATATGTCACAGGTACATATTAGCACAGAAGTAAAACTCCGTTTCGTGAATCTGAAACCGGTGTCTATATAACACTTCAGTGACCTATCCTGAGAGATGATAATTCGTTAGCTCTGATGAGGGTGGATCAAAAGTAGGTGGGTGGAATATACAACATGAATCATCAGGATGTGGTGAGCAATACCATTGTTCTCCTGGCAGGTTTGCGTAAAACATTGTCTAAGCTCCTGAGAAAAGGCATTCCTAAGTTAAATGGACTGATATGGGAAGTCAAGCAGAAGTGCTCAAATGAGAACTTGTATTAACCAGCATAGACTTACCAAATACAACTGTGGTCCTCAAAATCTCAAGTCTGCTTGACTTGGGCCACGTCAACAGGGTTCGAAGAAATCTAGGGTCACTTTCTAAATAGCTTAACGATCCAGGTCACCCATGGAAATCAGTAAATGAATAGTTTGCTCTACCTACCTTTAGGATTGTCTGATCGGCCAAAAAATTCACAAGAATCTGAACCGAAGTCTAATTTTCAAACGGTAAGAAGACCAACATCAACGTGCTCGAAAAAATGGGAAACTGATCAACTTTCGTAACAATTCCAAAACATTACTCACTTTCCTATCGGCCAGTGTGACAAAACACCAACAAACACTAAGAATATTCAAAAAAACGCATAAACGTCTCAAAATCGAGCCGCTAATGGTGACACGGCTTACTCAGGAGGAAAGACTTCAAACACTAAAATTATCCAAGGCTCTTAACAATGTTGACCTTCGGGATGTTCTACTGGCAAAAAACTTGCCGAAATCAGCAGGGGAGGCGAGGATACTGTTATGAACGGGGAATTAAGAAGCCCAGACAATTACGAAAGCCATTTTCTTGGGACGTTAATGCATTTCATTCAAACCCTGTAAAACACATATTTATTTTTGTCCCTATCTTATTCTACATAACACGAGCTTTTGTTCCATGTATTATTCACTAGCATACTCTTATTTGTTCCGAAAATATTGTAATTTAAACATAATATTTTGCACTGTATTTTCTACCCTAATTCCCTGTTTCCGGCATAACTGTATTTTTCCAAATTATCGTACGTCATAGTCAAGATATTGACTTATTTATTCATGTACATTTTTGTACTAATCCGAATTCAGAGAATCCAGAGTTCAGTGTTCCAACTGTCTTGTCTTCTCTCACTTGCGTGCTTGCCAACCAATCAGGTTCTAGAATAGTTATCTCTCTACCCCATCTCGAACTCACGCGTGATAGACTCAAGGTTAAGCCGCTCACCCTATCGCGTCAAGGTCATAGTTTGGTCTAGACAGATCAAGGTGAAGTCATAACAGATACTGCTTGATATTTCATATTCTTGGTGCAATTTCATCAGGAACATTCCTAAGGAACCTCGTGAGTCGTTCGTTCACAAAGGAAACATCACTGTCTGTGATGTCTCAGGTAACACGAACCCTGATTATGCAACCTGTGATGTTCTACAGTGAAGGTTCACAAAGCAGTTCTTGACCCAGCTAGTTGTGCGACTAGCCAGTTCTAAATCCCGGCCTACAGAGATAACCGATGGAGCTCACCTAAGGCAAGCTACATTTAGCGGTGAACAATCCAATGCCTAACCTTGGGAACAAATGACCGATTGGCACCTATTTTCCATGTGACAAACCACAAATATTTAACCCTTAAATAACCTCTGTAATTTCATATTTCACAAGCTGCAATCTCAACTCCATGCTTCATTCCTTTTCTATTGTTATTTACTTCGTATTCCCTCCTTAAAACTGAAAAATAACTGTATCTTGAGTTTTCTTTTGATCTCCACAGATACTGATGGTGTTACACACATTGAGCATTAGAAATGCAATGGACCAGAACCTAATAAAACTTGATGCAACTAGAAACTTCTCCAGTGGAAAATCAGCAACTCTCAGAAACCATCCATAATAACCACATTCAGCCATAACGATGGTTAAACCATTGCAGAACAGATCTTTTTTACTCTAGAATCACTAAAGTTAAGTCCTCTCAAAAACATCCACGTGCACGCGATATATTTTTGCCATATAATGACAAGTTAGGGGCATATGTGGTCACATACATACAATGGTTTACCTATCTCGACTATCTGACAGGAGCACAATCTTGCACCTTCAAAACATATTTAATTACATATTATGAATAGTTATGCTTCTGATTTTACGTGCTATTAGGAG